CAAATGAAAGGAAATTCGCTAAACAGATAATTGAATTATCCCTGCCTTATCCTCCCTACCCTCACTCCCCATGCAAAGTCACGATCCCTCCACTATCAGTTCCCAGCTAAACTCCTGTAATAGGTTAATTGAACGGATGGCTGCAAGCTTTTCTTGCTTGATGAAGCCGGAGATAAGATAGGAAGTGACTTATGACTCCGCACCGCGGTACAATATGCTCCCAGACGGACCGGGAGTCCGTATTGTGTGGCGAATCCTCCCTGCCTTTCTCCGCTGTAACAGGTTTATTTCGAGCTGTTTGGCTACATTGTGTGGCAAAATTGAAGCTGTCTCGCCATGTTTTTTATCTCGCAGAAGCACGAGTTTGCAAGCATACATGTATATGGATCTAGGAAGAGTAAATGAACCAGCCGTTACGAAAGGTATTGGATGCTACATGTACCTGAAACATCTGGCCATTTCCAAAATCACATCCAGTTGTTCAAGTAACTGTTTTTTTGGCATAACTAGTTGTTATAATTGTTAGTCAAAGTCTAGAGAAAAGTTGAAATGAAAAGTCCGTATTGTGTGGCGAATCCTCCCTGCCTTTCTCCCCTGTAACAGGTTTATTTTGAGCTGTTTGGCTCCATTGTGTGGCGGAATTGAAGCTGTCTCGCCAAGTTTTTTATCTCTCAGAAGCATGAGTATTCATACAGAAGTATGGAAGAAGAAAGAGTGAATTGTACTTATAAGTGTTAGTCATACTCTGGAGTAATTGAGCTGAAATGAATAGTCTTGTTACATGTAACGTTACTTGGAAATATGCACACTGTGTAAATAAAGTTTATTATTAATTTGTGAGTTTTGTGATGTAAAGAGGAATTTCAAGTAGTTCTACACGTGGAAAATTGAAATAAAGTTGTATGGATTATGGTGTCAAATGCAAAACCATTAAATGTAATCATGAAGACCACCTTTTGGTGTATACATGTATATAGGCCATGAAACCTGATCATACTCGAATCCCACACTCCATACCACCAACAGTATAATATTCAGTGGACTAATACAACCCAATATTAGTTATAACTGTTGTAATGTCCTTACATCAACACATGTGGCTGCAAACTGTGGACAATTTCAATTGTTGACAATAAACCATTATTATTGTGCAATAACTGCACCAAATTTTATCCCTGAAAGTTCAAGAACAAGATTACAGAATTGCTTATGCCCCAGGTTATCAGTATGCCAAACCCGATCACACTGCTGCCATCCCTGCCGGCCAGCGCTATGATGGAGTGCAGGGATTGGTTCTTTACATTGCCATGCCACCTGCACCAAATTTTATCATGTAAATGTCGAGAACAGGTTTACAGAATTACTTATGCCACAGTATCAGTTTTCCATCCCTGACTATGAAACCCGATCACTGGATCCCTGTCGGCCAGTGCTATGATGGAGTGCAGGGATTGGTTCTTTACAGCGCTCAGTGATTACCCCGACAGATTGGAGCGACGTAAAACTTTTCATAAATCTGCCGACTCCGCCTCCCTTTACAGGCAGAGTGGGAAGCCGGGACAACGTAAATCTACGCACAGTTATACGGGCTAGGAGTGGTAAACTGTTTAGTACTGGGAACCTACACCTATAATATCATACTTCAAACACTCATTGTGATCTATAACCTTATCCACTAGTATACTACCTAACACATGTTATTTACCGAGTAGTATCCTCTTCATCCCTTGTGAGACATATAAGAGACATACAATGTATGAGTACTCAAGCTTAAACTGAAGATATAGGAGTAAGTGGGCAGTATGTGGAGGAATTCAGGAAGTGGTGTAATTCCCAATGACAATCACATCATACATGATACCAAAAAAATACAATCCCCCTCACAGTTCCGAAACATACATGTATATTCACGAAAACCAAAAGCACTTCCATCCTGAAGGTCTGAATTCTCTGATTTCTTCTTCAGTTTATGGGGTGCATTCCAGTTCATCTTACATGTGACCAGGTCCTGATCCTATACAGTGACTGTTATAAACCTTCCCCTTGCCCTTATGTCAAGCTGCAGTTATTTTGCATGGGTAACAATGCATTTTACAATTAATGAAATCATCTAGAATTAACTGGGCAAGATTGCAATGTTTCAACATGGTTCACATTGAGTTAGAGAATCATGAAACACAGAATAAACAACATCAATATTTCTCTCTTGCCGGAAACAAAAACATAAATATACACAAGCCAGAACTGTTCATCCATATGTATTTTACAGTAGATAGAGGGTCAAACCGTGGCGCATGCCATTAAACTGTTACTTATACCACACATAATGAACCTGTTGGAATGCAGCCCTGCACCTGAGCTTCCCTGATGTATGAGTCCGTATAACAAGTTGTTAGACTGAAAATGCAGCAGGAATCACAATCAAGCGCGTGTGTTACGATTCAGGGCATGTAAAGCTATGTTTAACATTAAATCTCTTTGTACTGGTACCATGCAATCAGTGGACTGCAGAGGTTTAAAGGAATTCGCTCGCAGTTGTAAACTCTTTTATCAGCGGAAATAGAGGAACTCGAAAATAGGTCGGGATTTCGCGGAGGCAGTATACGTCCGATTCGCAAATGAGGGCTCGCTGTAAATGATCGTCGGAACAAGACTGTTTCTTTGATTTTCCATCGTTTCAATTCTGTTGAGTTTGATTGCTAGACGTTATGGACCCATTTGCTGATTGTGGAGTCATAATACTTTAGTTTGGACGTTAACACAAAGTACATAAAAGTTACTGTGTAGAATTGGGTTCAATCCAGTAACTTCACTATGTTGGGGGAGGATTTTTGAGTACTGGGACTAGAATTCGGTTCTGCAAATTTTCCATAAAGCATGCCCAAAGGACTGCTGTTGATAGCATCTGATCAGGGATGGTTTGTTGCCTACAAAACTGTATTTATCTACATAGTTGATTTATATTTTCTCTAGCTATTATCATCTATTTATCTACAAATGTAGCCTGGGTGCCCCGAAAAAATTGGGGTTGCTGTTACAAATCGGATGGCACCCAGGCTACAATTTATCTGTCTGTCTGTCTCTTTACCTACTAGTCTCTCACATATTCACTCACTCACTTCATAGAGATTGCTGAAAACTTGTCCATAACTTTGCCTATCTTGTATACTAAGTCATTCAGGCAGTGAAAATTGGAACCAAAAGACTGAGAGCCGACTGATTGCACACGACAGAGCTCCAAACTTGCTCCCATCCTCCTCTCGATGTGCATGGCTTCGTTTTCCTTGTCTGCTATAATCACTTCATTCCCTTCCAAGGACTTCTGCCTGAACTCTGACCCCCCCAATCCCGAAGCCAATCAGAAGTCATTAATGGGGAGATGCAGATGACACAGGGTGATGCAGATCAGCATTTATCTACATCATTCATGAATCTGAATCTCAAGCTTCAATTGTCTATTTCAGATATACAACTATTAGGAAGGAAAAACAACGAGGCCTGGGTATTGGCAGATGTTTTGTTTTTTAAGACGAATTAAGGTGGTGCATATCAACATCAATCTACATGGATCTGAATCTGAATCTCATCTAAAACTAGAAGATTTAATTGTCTACTTTCAGTCATATAGGGAATGAAAAACAGCAAGACCTGGGTGTTGGCAGATGTTTTGTTTTTTAGGACGAATAAGGGTGGTGCATATCGGGATCAATCTACATGGTTGTGTACATGGATCTGAATTTTGTCTAGAAGCTTTGTCTAGTCCATTCGTAGATGGAAAGAAAAACAAGAAGTCCTGGGTGTTGCTGGTTGAATGTTTTTGTTTATAGCAATTAATAAGAAATCCCCACACAATTGGGCAGGGTGGGTCTAGGTTTATCAAACAGTTCTTAGAATAAAAAAGTATGACGTTATATGACTCATAATGGATGAAACCATTTGGACTTGGGGGTCCTCCAAATATACAATCACACACTCAGGATGCAGAGAATATGCCTCAGAGAACATGACAGGTGTCCAGAAGTTGCTTCTACTAGTTCCAAGGATTTTATTTTGGAAGAAATCTTTTGTGGCAAGGTGGCTTCGACCATTGAGTGACCAAATAGTTAACAGATCACTCGACGAAATTCATAGACAAAGAATGTGTGTTTTTTTGCTGTGTTTTAAATCATACTTTGTGTTGTCCTTCATTATTCTAATCATAAAATTGAGGGCCACACAAATCTAATTTTGCTCAGCAATGTCCATCTAATGGAAAGACAATCTTACTTTTCCAATTCTAGTAGACTGAAGTGATGCACAAACTGGTTCAATCTAATTCTGCAGGGGACCTCCATGTTTTCTATGACCTCTATTGAAAGACTAATCGTGACCTTGGAGTAGTAAATTGGATAATGTCGGGAGGTAGTTGACCGAGTGACCCAGCCTCGCTGCCAGACTACTTAATGTAAGGAAGGGACAAGTTTGGCACTGATCCACAAATGGTTGCTACTTAATATGCTGATGCTTACATGTACTAACGTTACCAGTAGGTACTACATGTATGTGCTACAATGTACTTTAGCAGGGTGGGTGGGTGCTATACTTAAAAGGTACAGGTTAAGCAGTCATCCTCAACTTGTGCAATAAATATGATTCTATATCATCTTGAAAAGCACAATTTATTGCAAAGCATGGCATCTAGTGGAATATCAACTAAAGTTCCATAAGGCTAATCTTCCTATAACAAGAGTGCATAACCTCTTTCAAGTAGTTTCGCTGCAGCTGGCATTTGTAGCCAGGCATACTGGCTCACCCCTACTTTTCTCAATTAGTGTATTGGGTTCTTGTACACTCAGAGGCTTGGCATTAAGACTAATGCCTGAAGCAGGAATTATATGTTCCAGAAGTCTTGAAGTTTCTGATATCTTGTAATGTACCAATGTAATGCACAAAGTTTGTTTCTACATTAGGTCAAGTTTCTAGAAAGCCGAATATTTACGCCTGGATTTTTATCCCCACAGCTCCACCGTCCAAACCCAGGAACATCATCTCCAACATCAACATGACGACGGTGGAACTGCAGTGGGAGACCCCGGTGGACAATGGCGGCCGGCATGACCTTCACTACAAGATCGTCTGCTGGCGGTGTCACGACATCACGTGTGTCGGCTGTCGCAGGGACGTCCAGTATCGACCGGCTAAGGTGACAATTGTAGAAACTGTAGATACTTTTTGACTCCGTTTGCTAAAATTGAAACAAAGTAGTCATATGTAGCTAATCTTCCAAGCCACTGCAATAGCCTCAAAAATAAATCAAATGCAAACAATTTTATAGAAAATTTCTCCTTTATTTCTTAAAAATGAGGCAAAAATCAATGTGCGTGCAGATGTCATCCATAGAATTTACTTGCTGTAGTTTAAGGAAAGAAAAAGAAATTTTTAGAAACATACTTTTTACACCAGTCCTTTAATTTCAAGCTGTACGTGAAATGTTGCAAACAGCTTGCATGTAACATCCCCTGAGACATTGTTGTGTCAATAGAACACTTTGTTTATTAACAGAGATAATTGTTTGTTTGTTTGTTTACAGGTGGGACTAAACAACACCATGGTTACCATCGAAGGCCTGATGGCGTACACCAAGTATCGTTTCGAGGTCCATGCAGAAAACGGGGTGTCCGGCACCAGCAACGTGAAAGATCGCTTTGAGTCCATCACACTGAAGACCAACGTTGCTCGTAAGTACATTGAAAATTAATTATATAATCATTATACATAATAAAAAACATGACATTGTGTTACACTTCTTCTTTGAGTGAACCAATCATCACAGGGCTGGAAATACCACCTGCATATGCTGGTTAATGTTAATTCATCCATTGTATTCGATGAGAACCCTAACTTCAGCTGCTCTAAGTGCAGGTAAAATTGGAGCTCCAGGAGTCCTGTGTTTCAGGAGAGCCACACCTCAAGCACATTAACAATTCCCACCACACTTTACACAAATAGTAGTGGATCAAACCCTACAGTCCAGTATTATACAGCTTGTACCAAGGCGGAATTTCATTGAGCCCCCTTGCTTGTATATGTACTTACTGTACAAAAACTGGTGAGTTCCTGTCCTTGGTGCTGAACACTATCCACAAACACTTATAACCTGTAGTCAGGTACCAGTTATGCAAACAAACTATTAAGGTTATGCAATTCAGATTACAGTTTGCAATTCAAACCCTTTGTGTATTCAAAGTACATTCTGCTTGCAGCTTACAGTCTGCCTTTCCAAACCCACCAGGCGCGCATTAGTAAAGATAATGAAGCTGGCCATTAAAACAAATGGGGTCTTCGCAACTCTTTAACCATTACCACTCGCCCATTAATCACTGCATGAGTGATAACAGCCAGATTAAACAATTACTGTCACAAAGGTCAGCTGATTTTTACTGGGTGTCAGATCAGATACCTGCAACGGAAGTATAAGCGCCTGAGATTCCAATTTTCATCACGAAAGATAAAAGTTCTAACAGATGAAAGTACTGATTGATCTTAAGTTTAAAAAATTTGGATGGTGGGTGCTTGATATGCTTGTTTGCCCAGTGTTCCAGGCAGGATGGGTGATGGGTGACACTGACTGAAGGGGACAGATTTTATAGGGGTATCGATTGACCTACAACACTGGGATGTGGAGCGTAAGATCCAGGGAGGTCAGAGGGACAAGTAATCAAGGAAGCGTCTTGTCAACATGGTCTTAACTCCCCGGGCAGGTTCTTTATCTGATGGGAAGGTGTCTTAAGGCGTTATGCAAATCTGCTTTGTTTAAGAGGAGAACTTTTCAACTGCATGTTGTTTCACCTATTTGTAGGACTCGTGTCCTCTACCAGGCTTCGTAAAGAGTAGAAATTGGCCATATAGACAGATAACATGCCTGGGGAGTTGTCCGCTAAAAGAGTATTGGTGGCAATACTGGTAGAGGTCTATCTGGTGTTGATTCTGGTTCATCAATGCTTGCAAAATTAATTTTTGTATGATCAGAAACTGATGCCCCAATACATGTATAAGCTGTAATTGAGCTTGTTGATATCTTCACAGCTACATGTACCTACAACATTGCATAAGCAAAAGAGATCCTGGTGCCAAAAGCTAGACTTCCTTCAGGTCAGTGCAAAGAAGGTTATATGGCCTCCTTCAGTCAAAATTGACCATGGTCATAATATAATTTTCTTCAGTATCAATATTTAAAAAAGTTTACAGGATCTGAAATTTGAGTTGGCCTCTTGCTTGTGGGCGAAGTTGACAACCAGTTCATCAACTTATCGAACGCCCCTCATACATCTGATCCTTGGATCCAGGTCTTCAATACTTGCTCCTCAGCAGTCAATAGATATTGATGAGTGTTGCCTGTGAATCCCTCCAGCACTCAACACGTTTATTGGGACTCTCATCAACTGAAGAGTTTGGAGTATCGATCTACTCAGGACCAAAGAAGCGCGCTTGTTTGTTGTTTGACCTTTTAGCCGGAGGCAATCGGCCACCTTTTGGTCCATTTGCTTCTCTTGTTGTTGAAATTAAATCTGAAGCTTGTGTGTAAACAAGTGTGGGTTTGAGGCAAAATTATATTACATGCTCCCCATTTACTGTACATGGAGCCTATCTAGATCCATGCCTGGGGCAAATATACATTCTTCAATACGTGCAGCCTATCAAGAACCGTACCTGTTCCCAACCCTAACCCGTTCAGGCATAGAACTAAGTAGGTGCAGTTCTGGGTAAAAAGATAGATGGGTACAAAAACTTCAGTGGTGGACTCCCTTAGCTCTCTGATGGAACTGTGTCCGTTGAGGCACCATCTCCAATATGGACTCCATTAACAATAGTTTAAGTCTCAAAGGAAGACAACAAAAACTGGAGGTCACGTAGTACATTTTGTAGGTCTCTAGTCTTCAACATGTCCACCCTATGTGTTGACTGTAAACTCCTTTATTTTTTGCAGAGATTCAATTTTGTTGTTGAATGGACCTAAAAGGAGATTATTGTGGCATTTGAAGTTTGCAGTCAAAACAATACAATTGCACAAAACCACATTATTACTATAATTTGCAATGTCATGATCATACAGTAGATAGACTCGAGAAAACCACTGCAAACATTTCCAGATTTACAGTGATCATTTCGGCCCTGAAAAACTTCCCCAATAGCTGATGCAACAGTCTCAGCCCCATCAGGGACACCGTCTTTAATATAACATCCATTAAACTCAGCCCAGCTGTCAGCCAGACATTGACACTTGCAGTTCCACCGGGAAGCTTTAAAAGCAGACGTACAGAGTTCTCTACAGCGCAGTGGGAACAGGTGTCAAACAGTTATCGGCACTCCCCAAAATAGTTTCATCAGGTTGGTAGGGTATAGGATACAGGAGTTTTCTTTTACATGTCTTGGCTTTCCTTGTTTACATTTTGGTGTCTATCAGACACCTTCCTCAGAGCTTCTGGCTGGAGTTCTGCATTGGCTACATATACATGTAGCGGTGAGAAGCAGAACTCCAGTCAGAAGCTCTGAGGAAGGTGTCTGATAGACACCGAAACGTCAGCAAGGTGAGAGACGATACTGGTTGTGTAAATTTTGAAAGAAAACCCCTACATCCTAGCTGTCATAACTAACTGCAGTTGTCAGCCAGACATTGACACTTGCAGTTCCACAGGGAAGCTTTAAAAGCAGACGTACAGAGTTCTCTACAGCGCAGTGGGAACAGGTGTCAGTGGTGGAAATACTTTTTTTCAGTGTTGTACAATATTGCGGAATGTCAAAATTTTGTCCTAGAATTCGGAAATACTTTCAGCCTGCAAATACATGTAACATTACACACTTAAAAGTCCAGATCAAAACCGATGGCTTATACAAAATTGCAAAATGTTGGCTGGGTGTCAAACAGTTATCTGCACTGCAGCTGTGTTGGAGGTATTAATTTGTGTTACCGAGTCTTGAAGTAACACGGAAAAAGATCTTAGATGCCTAGGATACTTTTGTGAATTTGTTACTAGGATGTTTGGGTAGTTTTGCTTGATTTCAGCTTTGGGGGAGTAATCAGTTTTGGTATATATTCGTAGATGTATGTAATTTCATGTCTTCAGTTGAGAATTTGGTCACTTTCATCCTGATGATGATGATTGCTTTGCCCCTTCTCTACGATCCTCCAAAGAGAAACTACAAACATGGCAGTCACTTTAGTTCAGCAGGCAATACAAGTGTTGCTTGGTTTCTTACAGAATTAGTTTTGATAACTGCATTTACCTTTTTGCAATATGGTCAATTTGAAACAAAAAATGAAAAATACAACTCTGGAGCTCTGAGTCTGTCAAGGTCTTTAATTTCAGGAAGTACGTATATACAATGTAGATTGTAGCAAGACAATTAAAGGAGACATTGCCTATTTGCAAGCACTTGTCTTATCTATAAACAGTCATGAATATAAGGGTCAGTTTTCAATCTCCGTCTTCAGTATAGCTGGGTGTTACAGCCCAGCAGCAATTAGAGTGGGATACGCCTGACTGGGAGGGAATCCTCCATCAGACATGGCGGCGCAGTTCTGGTGGTTCTGCTCCAATAACTCAGCACTGCAGCGCAGGACTAGGGAAGAACGTTGTGTTTCCTGTTGCCCGACCGACCCCAGAATATGCCGCAATAGTATGGGATCCATTTACAAAGAAAGACTAAGACAAATTGGAAAGGGTGCAGAACCAAGCTGCAAGATTCTGTATGAACAACTATGAAAGAGGTGCTAGTGTCATGGAAATGAAAAGAAACCTACAGTTGGTCTCCTTGGAAGACAGAAGAAAGATGTCCAGACTGTGCATGCATGATGTACAAAATGACTAATAAACTGGAGGACGTACCAACCACTAAGTATCTGATACCAGCCCAGAAAAGAACAAGAAACAGTCAAGCCTTCAAATATCAGAGTTATCAACCAAGAATTGAGGTGTTTAAACACTCATATTTCCCAAGAACTATCGTAGACTGGAATTCAAGATTGCCGAAGTCTAATAAAGAAAGAAGGAAAACAAAATAATCCCACCCTATAGCTACCATCCCTAAATTTTTTCAGGACTGAAACAGGAAACACAACATTTTTTTTCCTTGGCCTCAAGGTGTTTTACATGCCTTTGGAGCTTCTCCAACTCCTTGGACTGTACTTTAAGAATGTGATAGTGGATCAAGGTGTTTTACAATACCTTAGGAGGGTCAAGAACTCCTTCGACAGTAGTTTAAGAATGTGCTAGCATCTCAAGGTGCTATACATGACTTAGGAGGGCCTCCAACTCCTTGGACTGTACTTAAAGAATGTGCTAGTGGATCAAGGTGTTTTACAATACCTTAGGAGGGTCAAGAACTCCTTGCACTTTAGTTTAAGAAATGTGATAGTGGATCAAGGTGTTTTACATGCCTTAGGAGGATCTCCAATTCCTTGGACTATAGTTTAAGGATGTGTCGGTGGATCATGGAGTGCGATTCATGGCCCGATAGTGTCTCAAGTGCTCCATCAGGGGCAGTAATATAACGTCTTAGGTGTTAGGTTTTATATGCAGGGTTATTGGTGTATGTGTGCAGTAGGGCATAAGGTTGATGTAGGTACATCTTGTACATTGTAATTTGTGGGGGGGGGGGGTCATGTACATTGTAGTGTAGTGTAGTGTAGTGTATTGAGCAATTTTCTTAGCTTACATTCTCAAAAGTGGGAAGACGT